TGGCAGCAGGAAAATGGAAAGTATGTTGGCTTTTGGGTTTGTTTGCTTTTTTTAAATTAATCTACTGCTGTTTGTTTAAATGATTTAATAATGATTTTAGTAGTACAGAGAGATTAGTTTAGGTGAAGGATAGACACTGATAGGTGTGGTATTTTACCATGTCTACTGCTTATAAAAGCTTCCATAATTCACCTGCAAAATTCAGAAGCATAAACATTTTGAGCCCTCTGTGTTATTGACTGTTTTCTTTTAATCGTGAATGTAACAAGTACCACCCACAACTCTGGTGGAAAGTTACAGTTCTAGAAACTTAGAATCAATTTTGTGTGTGTATTACAAAGTCTACTGTAATCTAGCTAAGGTACAATAAATGTGTTCTCGGCACCACATTTACACACTGCTGCCTTTAACTATACTTTAAACAGTTCTGTGTTTGTGTTTTTCAAATTTTTGGGTAATGAATATTGCAGGTTTAAATACTGCTGTGAGATGGTACATAGTCTGTCATACATTATCTATTCCACTTACAGACTAATAATATAATTCAAGGAAAAAAGTTACTCCCTGGTCATAGTCCCTGGATTCTTTCAAAAGTAATCAAATAAATCATTCTATGTGTTCTGATATAATCAGATCAAAATAAGTTGAAGAAAGAAAAGGACTGAAAGTATACTTTCATACTGTATGTTACACATTTGCATATGTTTTAATGTGTGTCTTTTATTTAAGGAATCTTGTAGTCTCCTTTATATCTCGCAGTCCTTAAGAAATGTAAATATTTGCAAGGAATGACAAAGCTAAAAAGTTCAGAATATTTTTGGACAGTAAGAAGGGATCATGGAAGTATGGATGGAGATAATGTTATGAGATAATAAAAAGGCCAGTGATGAGAGGTGTAAGGCACAACATGTGAGATGTGAAGGAGTGTTGGACTATGATCTTTTAGGGTATGTACTAGGACCCCCAAAATTCCCATTTACTATGATCAGGTCTTTCAGTATAATCTGGGTGGTTTTACACTTTCTGTGGCCTCAGCAGCAGGAACTAGGAGGGTCATGTCTGAGATAGGTTTTGTTACATTTAGGTCTTGAACTCTCTTAGCCCTTCCTTAAGCCAAATCTTTCAGGACAGAATATACAGCTTCTTAGTACCTAAGATGTATCCAGAACTTCATCCTCATCAGTATTATATTTATGGACTCATGAGGAGCGGTTACAATCTGATTAGTGAGAGATACCTCTGCCCAGATTAAGGTGCAAATGAGACCATATGCCAAAATCAATAATATGCTAATAATACAATTATATAATAATAGTATGGGGTTTATATGAAAAAAGAAGATATGCACAAAGCAACTGTTAAAACTATCAGCACCTTCTTTTGTTTAACAGAAACTAAAATCCTGCAGCAGCTATCAAAGATACGAAACAACGTGAAGAGACTTCAGCAACAATTAAAAGATGTGAAACCTACACCAGCGTGTAAGTCATGATGGCAGATTTAACGACATTTTCCTCTACAGACAGGTTTCTTTCTGTTGGACTTGCCATTCTTCTGCAGACTTGGGATACTCCTCCAGTCTGTATGCTTTTTCTGGAATCTGGAAAGGGAAACTGCAGAAACCTAAGAAACAGTGAAAGATTATGCAGCTCTCTGTGGAAACGGAGAAATTTTCTCTGTTCTGTATAAATGAGACTTCTTTAATGGAAATAAACATTTATACCAGGATTTGCATCCAGTTAGCTTAATCACTGTGTAAACACACGTTTTGAATAAACCAGAGTCTGTCTTTTAAGGCTGCTTGAGATGAAAATGCATGCATTTTGTACACTGAAGTGTCCTAGAAGTCTCTGCAAGTCCTACATTTCTGGACAGTGCTGGTAAATTCTGCAGACTTAAGTTATGTGCTTTTTTCTTCTTTTCCATTTTTCAGTTGTTGACAATGTCAAGGAAATGATGGAAGAAATTGAAAATGCAATCAATGCTTTCAAAGAAGAACAGAGGCAAATGTATGTTCTTATATACTTCAGCTATAAGAAAAAGTGCTTTCATAAGACACAATGAAAACTTTACATTAATCCAGCAAACTGTCTTTTGATTTACTCTTTTGTTAGTGATTCCTGTGGTATGTAAATCAAAGCAACATTAGAATCTTGATAGACTGCCTTTTAGAGAGGCTGTTTATATAGCTATTGCAGCATTCCAGTGTAACTGATTGACCTATGAAAAGGCCTTTTAGATAAAGGCTGCAGAAGAGATTAGATTGTGGGGGGTTTTGTTGTTGCTGTTGTTCTTTTTTCTAAATGGGTTTTGGAGGGTCTCCCTTTCTCTCTAGTGGTGTCAGGAGGGGATCGAGTTAGTTGTGTGAGTGCCACAAATATGTGCTTTCAGTGAAAGGGTAACTTAATTCCCATTGTGCAGAGCTTTATTATCGGATCATTACAACTGTGCTGTTGCCACTTCAGTTCTTAATCTTTGAATAACAGCTTTGTGTGGCATTGAACAATTCCAAAATTCATTTTTGGTGAATGGACAATGAATACTGGAAATTTTTTTTCTTACATTTCAGTGTTTGTTCTCCTTTCAGCTATGAACAGCTTTTGAAGGAAGAAAAAGCTGCCAGTAATGAGCTCAGTCTCTTAGAAAGAAAAGTGGAACTGTGGGCCTTAGGCAGCTCAACAGCAGAAAAAGTTTTGAAAGTACCATCAGCCAGGGTCACAGTTGATAAAGCACTGGAAAATCATCTACCCAAAGAAGTCGTAGAGTTTGAAAGATTTCTTCAGCGAACAGGAGGCCGGCAGGGAGGTTGGGATGATTATGACCATCAAAATTTTCTGAAAATACGGACAAAATACAGAGGAAGGCTGTCTTACGTGGATGAAGCCCTTGAGTACCTCAGTGGAAGAACAAAAGAAGATATTGAAAAGCATGACAAGTGGTATCAAGAATTTCTAATTTTACATGAAAGAAAGAAAGAGGTAAAATAACCCCTCTAATGGCTTTTGGATATTAAAAAAGTAGTCATTTTTAAAATGCATACATCTCTTATTTTTGTATTTGCCTCCCTGGAGGTAGTGCTAGGTGGATTTCTGTTATAGTTAAACTGAGATCTTTAGCATCCTCAACTTGCCAAAAGTATTTGTCTTTAATAAATAATTAACAATAAGCATAGACGTAATTAGCACACTGAAGAGGGCTGTGTATTGCCAAAATATGTTATAAATTCCTTTGATAACAGTGGTCTAGTAAGTGAGATGCCAATCCCAGAGCAGTAAGTGATCCTATCTGAGACTGTGGTTCATGGTACATTTGTCGCTCAGAATGTCTGCCCCACCATACACACAATATACCTATGCCAGACTGACATACAGAATTACCACTCCCTCAAGAGCTATCCCAGTAATAAAAGATACACTGACATAAAAACTATTATAAAACAGTAGGTGGAATTATTAATTTTAAAAAAAGGAAATTAAGGACCAAAATAAGTTTATGTTAATAAAAGCATTTTACACCGACATTCATAACTACCCAAAGTTAATATGAATGTTGTAACTGAAGGATCTAGCAGTATCTATTAAACCTGCTTGTGTGATCCATAAAATACAAGAAAAAAAAGAGGTGAGAAAACAGATATAAGTGTTTCTTTGCCGTAAGTTTTGCCTTCAGTAGACTTTGAATTCCTGTTTGCAGTTTGTGTCCTTGGAGCTTGTTTTCATCGGACTGAATCCATGGGAATGTGTAACATTTTCATTAAAATTTTGGGTTTTTTTTTTCCTACTGGTCTCTTGCAGTCAATTAAGAAGTGGAAAGAAAAGCAGCAGCAAGAAGTAGAAGGAAACTTGAAGGAGAAAGACAAATCAAAAAAAATGCTTAAGGAAAAATGGCTACAACGTGAAGAAGATCAGAAGCAAAGAGCAGAAGAAGAAAGAAAACGTAAACAAACAGCAGGTGAATCATGGAAGAAACAGAAAGCAGTAGCATTTGCAATGGAACAAGCATCACATCTAAAACTAGAAGAAGAGAAAAAGAAAAGGCAACAAAGAGAGCTCCAGCGCCAATGCCACGTGAAATTACTGTTGGAAAGAAATACCTTGCACAAGAAAGCTAAGGCGAAACTTGAAAAGCTTGAAAATGAGAAGAGAGAGGAAGCTGAAGAGGAGAAAAAAGAGAAAATTGCTGCAGAAGAAATTTTTAAGTTTCAAGAGCGTGTGCGTAATTAGATCTCCATTATGCACGTTGTTGTTTGATTTTTGCCTACTTCCTCCTACAGTATAATCTGCCAAACACTTTTTAAAATCCAAATTCCATTCATGTAAATCTGTCACTGATTCACTATGAATAACATCATCTATCTCAGACAAAAAAGCAGTATGAAACTTTATTTTACACAAAGGTGTTAATTTTCCTCAGTATCTAAATTCTTCAGGATTATTCAAGCCCATGTTTCTTTCTACATATAGAAGTGGTTTTATTTACTTTGGTATGAAAATGGGAAACCCTGATTGGGCTACATTGTGCTCCATGCTGTAGAAAACATCAGAAGACCTGAGTGTTGTGTGCAGATACAAGATAAAAGTTTGAATATCCAGTGGGTTTCAGTAGTTGTAAGGTCAGCTTAGATCCCATATTCATGTAAATGCAATTACTGGAGAAGTGATGCTATTGTCACCATTCACACTGGAGTTTTATAAGCAGCGTTTAAACTACTACACTCTGGCTTTTTTCCAAAGTTGTATAACTGTAATTTTTTTGTGCAGGACACGCTGTAGCACTTAGCTACCTACTGAAACTTTACTATGACAATGACTTCAAAACAAAAAATAATTAACTGTGAAAAGGCTGCATGTATATTTTTATATAATTTGTTTTATTTCCCAAGGAAAGTTTGCTTTTCCATTCATTATGTTTCAGGATCTACATAAACTGGAACTAAGGGTTTTACAGAAACAAGCTAAAGAAATAGAGAAACAAGAGAAAGAAAAAAGGTTGGCAAAGTTAAGAGAGAAGGTAACTTTTTGTTAGTTTCAATCTGAGGTATGTGCAGCTTTGTGGTTTGAACAAACTTTTTCATTGACCTAAAAAGCAATTGGGTTTAATTAGCTAAATTGTTGATAAAAGAAAATAGTCATTTTGTTAATGCAGTGGGCATTGTTGCAACGTGTTTTTAAAAAAGGGGAAAAAATGAGAATTTATTCATCTCATGGCAAGATTTATCTGGGTAAAACCTATTGGTCATACAACTCAGCTGCAATGTGGGTGGTGTTTCTTACATGTTTTTAAATGGTTTTCTACCGTAAGTTAAGTAGGGAGATTGGCTTCTAGGAGCATTCTGGGGACACTGGGTTGTAAGAGTTTAACCTTTTAAATTACTAAGATTTAATGAGAGAAACCAGTTGTTGCCCTTACTGCTTTCGTGTTTCTCCTGTTTCCTGTGCTAGTGTGGAGGTAAACGTCTCTGGCTAGCCAGCTGTGCTTTGTTTACTCTGCACCTATTTCTATGATGAAGACCCAATGAGCGTCATGTGAAAAAGTCCAACTTTTTTTGTGTGTGTGTCTGTTTCACTCTGAGGTCGAGATTCAGGTAACCAGAGACCGCTCCAGGCTGTACAGAGCTGCCAAGAAAGACGTCACACCCGCACCCTCGGAACCGCTGCTGCATCTTTCCC